TGACAGACTCTGAACATTAAAGGATTCGTTTGCCATATTAAATATTCCGAACTGATTTATTTCTGCCGCGCGGTTTTGTGAAAAGCAAAGTAAAATAAATTTTTAAAATGTCTCGGTTGGGACTGAAATCGTATTTCATTTGTATTCAAGCCAGATTTTACTTACTTTGAAATGTTTTTCGATTATGTTTGTAGGATTAATTATTTAATAGTTGAGTAAAAGATGATTTTTGAACGAAGTATTGTGTGAATGAGAAGGATGGATGACGTAAAAGGGATTGAGGGACTTTTCGCAACGACGCCACGAACGAGTAACGTGTATCTGTGTCTTAAAATGTATTAATTTAAATAAAGATGAAAATAGTAACAATATACTCAAAATAAAGATTTTATTTATCTTACGCCTACAAAATTCTCGTCCGGGATAACGGGCTTAAAGTGATTTTTGGGTATTTTAATAACGAGAGAAAAGTGATCACGTACGCCAGCCGCCATTACGTGTTACAAAGGAAGCGTATTAATTGTCACTTTAAAATAACGACGATAATATTTACGACGGTTAAAGATGATGGAGAGCAATAACGACGATGGTAAATATAATCCATTCTTCCTGATGGATTCCCTACCTAAGTTTACGGGGGATGATATGACGTATTCCTCTGCAAAATGGACGCAGGATATTGAAGACAACGCAGATATTTTCGGATGAAACCAACTAAAACGGCTATTTATCGCACGGAGGTGCTTGGTTGGTACTGCACAATTATGGCTGAAGACGGAAAAAGAATTTAAAACTTATGATGAATTTAGAACGGCTCTGATGAAGGAGTTTCCTGATACTATAAATTCCAAACAAATGCATGAAATGATGAGTAATCGGAAAAAGCAGGGTAATGAAACGGTTTATCAATACATGCTTGTCATGAAAGAATTGGGAAAAAGGGCTAAGTTTGCAGACTACGTCACCATACAGTATATAGTCGATGGCATAAACGACTACGAATCAAACAAATTATTATTCTATGGTGTTACATCCTATTCAGTGCTCAAGGAGAAAATAGCATTGTATGAAAGTTACAAACAGAAAACCAAGAAGAGTACTATAAGCAAAAGAGAAGTAACAGTAATGAAGCCGATGGCACAACGGGAAACTGGAGGACAGACATTCCAACATGGTTACAAGTGCGGTGAGAAAGGGTATCTGTCGAGTTCCTGTCAAAGAGGTGTAAAATGTTTTAGGTGTAATGAGTTCGGTCACATAGGCGCAGAATGTAAGAAAACGGAACCTGTAATAACACAAATGCATGCAAAGCGGGATCGACGATCGATGTTCATTCAATATCCCACGCTGACATCAGAGGGCGCTAGTTCCGCTAACGTGGACGTGAATGAAGAAGGTGAACGTGAACGAAATGTAATGAGTTGCGATCCGAAGGAAAGAGCGAGTGCCTGCATATCAAATGTTTGTGACAGTAAGGGGATTCAGTGTCAACTTCAAAAACGTCAGTCTGCATTTAATGTAGATAAAGGTGATGCGATAGTTAATAGAAGCATAAAAAAATGTAAAAATAGGTAATTTCGTGACGAACTGTTTAATTGATACGGGTAGTGATTTAAACTTAATAACTTTAAATTTCTTTTCTAAATTAAATATTGGATATACACCTGTCAGAATGTTGCTTACCGGGTTGGGTTGTTCACAAGTATTTTCAATCGGTAAATTCGACACGGAATTAATTATCGACGATCACCATTACAATATTAATTTTTATATTGTACCAACTAATGTAATGCCACATGATGTAATATTAGGTCAACCATTCTTAGTAAATACTGTTACGGTTATAGACAAAGGTGCCGTTGAAATTAGGCCTCCATGTTACGATAGTTTATATCAAAATGCTATGTCTTTTTTCCAGTAATGATGACCAATGTAGTGCGGTAAAAGATATTATAAATGATTACGTACCTTTGAAGACCAAAGATGCACCCATTAGGCTGAAAATTGTTCTAAAAGATGATATTCCAGTTACACAACGGCCTAGAAGATTAGCTTTAACCGAAGAACTATTAGTGAAGCAGCAAGTTGATGATTGGTTGAAGATGGGCATCATTCGTCCTAGTTATTGTGAGTATGCAAGTCCCTTAGTATTGACAAAGAAAAAAGATGGCAGTGTACGAGTTTGCGTAGATTATCGAAAGATAAATCAGAAAATGATGAAAGACGAACATCCATTACCTGTAATCGACGACCTTATTGACAAATTGAGTAGAGTGAATGAGTATAGCACACTCGATTTAAAAAATGGCTTTTTCAACTTACCAATTGAAGAAGAGTCGGTGAAGTATACATCATTTGTAACGAGTAACCCTGAAGGCCAGTATGAATTTTTAAGAGCACCGTTTGGTCTTTCTATCTGTCCTAAATACTTTACAAGATACATTAACATCATATTTGCGGATTTTATAAGAACGGGAGTGGTTTTGATATTTATTGACGATATCATTATACTTTCAAAAGATGAAAAAGAGGGAATTGAACGACTTAAAGTTTGCTGAAGGTGGCAGCGGAGTATGGGCTCGAAATAAATTGGGAGAAGTCACAAATACTACAAAGATCTGTTGAATTCTTAGGCTATCATATTTCCAATGGAACGATAAGACCATCTAGTGAGAAAACAAAGGCTGTTATGACCTTTCCAGTGCCTAAAAATTTGAAAGAACTGCACAGCTTCATAGGATTAACTTCGTACTTCAGGAAGTTTATTCAAAATTATGCTTTAATAGCAAAGCCATTAAGTGATTTATTGAAAAAAGGTGAGTTTAAGTTTGAGGATGTTCAAAGACAAGCTTTTGACGAATTAAAGTCAAAATTATGTTGTGAACCAGTGTTGAAAATATTTGATGTTCATTTTTAAACTGAATTACATACAGATGCTTCTATGCATGGATATGCAGCTATTTTAATGCAACGAGACCCTAATGATGGTTGTCAACATCCTGTTCACTACATGAGCAGAAAGACTACAGAAGTTCAACAAAAGTGTTGCAGTTACGAGTTAGAAGCTTTAGCTGTTATTGAAGCCGTGAAGAAATTCAGAAGATATAGGAATACCCTTTAAAATTGTCACTGATTGTGAAGCCTTTCAAAAAACCTTGAACAAAAAGGATGCATCTGCAAAAGTAGCACGATGGATACTATACTTACAGGATTTTCAGTATTCTATAGAACATAGAACAGGAGACAAGATGCAACATGTTGACGCATTGAGCAGAAACATTTGTTTTGTTGATGTTGAGTTACATGCGAGAATAAAGAAGGCACAAGAAGAAGATGAAGGGTTAAAAATTATCAGAAAACTATTAGAAAAGAATGGATATGAAGATTATTTTTTAGAGAATGATGTTATATTTGAAGTTATAGATGAAGATTATTTTTTAGAGACTATAAAGGACCGGGGAAGAAATTGGTATTACCTGATATGATGGATATGCAATTGATTAAAAAAGCCCATGGAATTGGACATTTCGGGAAGAAGAAGATTAAGGATATAATAGAAAAAGATTATTACATTACAAAACTAGACAGTAAAATCGATAAGATTGTTTCTACCTGTGTACCCTGTTTATTAGCGAGTAGAAAGTCTGGTAAGAAAGAAGGCTTTTTAAATCCAATTGATAAAGGAGAATTACCACTGGATACTTTACATTGTGATCATTTAGGGCCATTAGATGCAACTAAATAAATGTATAACTACATACTTACTGTAATTGATGGATATACAAAGTTCGTCTGGATTTATCCTGTTAAGACTGTGGCAGCAAAGGAAACCGTAGAAAAGTTAAAGTTGCACCAGAAAGATTATGGTAACCCACGGAGAAGCATTACTGACCGAGGAGTAGCTTTTACAGGGAATGAATTTCAAAAGTACTGTCAAGAGGAAGGCATTAAACATATCACTATTGCCACTGGAATACCACGCGGAAATGGTCAAGTTGAAAGGGTGAACAGAGTTATTATTTCTACTTTAACAAAGATGTGTATAGAAGAACCAGGCCGTTGGTATAAGCATATGAGTAAGCTTCAAAGAGTCATTAATAGCACATATCAACGATCAATTAACACAACACCTTTTGAATTGTTAACGGGAGTGAAACTTAAACTGAAGGAAGATTTATCTATTATGGAATACTTAGAAGAGGAAAGCAGAATCGAATGTATGAGTAGAAGAGATGAAACAAGAAGAGAGGCTAAGGCACAAATATTAAAGATCCAAGAAGAGAATAGAAAGACATATAACAAAAGACGTAAAGAAGGAGAGAAGTACAAGCAAGGTGATCTAGTTGCTATACAACGTGTACAGTTTGGAACTGCGTTAAAATTAAAACCAAAATTCTACGGACCATATCGAATTACAAAGGAGTTAGGAAGGGGTAGGTATGAGGTAGAGAAAATAGACACGAGGTAAAGAAGGGCCGATAAGAACTAATTCAGCTTCAGATTATATGAAGAGATGGCCTTGATACAAATTGTTTTTTTTTGACCGATTAAGTAATTGTTTTTGTAATTTTGTATTTTTTAAACATCTACTAAAACTGCCTAAACTACCTGTGGTTGTAAAGGAATAAGCTAATTAGTGTTGTTATTTTTTTTGTTGTATGTTTAAACACTTATGTCTATGAAGAAGGAAAAAAAAAGTTAAGTACTTAGTATAACTGTGGTAAAGTAGCTTCAGTCTGAGGCCAGACTGATTTGCAGAATGGCCAATTATTTAATAGTTGAGTAAAAGATGATTTTTGAACGAAGTATTGTGTGAATAAGAAGGATGGATGACGTAAAAGGGATTGAGGGACTTTTCGCAACGACGCCACGAACGAGTAACGTGTATCTGTGTCTTAAAATGTATTAATTTAAATAAAGATGAAAATAGTAGCAATATATTCAAAATAAAGATTTTTTTATCTTACGCCTACATGTATAAATTAAAAGTTTTAAAAAACATGCATTTCTGGAGCTTATTCGAATCTTTGCTATTTCTAACTTCTTGCGTCTGTGGTTACTGGCATAGACAAGGTTAGTTACTGTCTGTTTATATTTCACCACCAGACACAAACGTAAAAGCCTAAAGGTGACAATCGTTTCACCCTTCAGGAAATACAAGTAAGACATAATTATTACATACTTCTTTCACGAGATAAAACTGAAAAACTAAAAAATATATTTTATGGAAAAATATACGAAAATTTTCTCACACCCTTCGGATCCATGTTTTTTAGATTGGCGTCCAGAAGCTTTAACGACTAAGCTAAACACCATTGCCACACCGACAAAAATCTCAATGTTAATTCTCAATTTGCATTTTTTTTTCGCATTTTAAGCAACTCTTGTCGTATTTTGATTGATTTCAATTGATACGCGAGGTTATCACATTCAATGATTAGCGAACTCATCCCACTCAACCGTATGAAGGATCTCCTATAGGTCTAAAACTAGTCGATACCTAAACGGATTGGGCGTCTGTTTAACCATATCAATTATTCACCTATAAAATTTCTCAGTTTCGCACTTTTTACATTTCTATTCTTTAATTATTTACCAGAAAATGTCATCAGAATGTTAACCGTGCTATAACTTTTTGTATTCTTAACAGCATTGCTGATCTGTTTGGAAAACTGAGCCTACTGCATCGGCTCAAACACAATATTTATAATACTTTAAACGCCTTTGTTCCAGTGGTGGATAGCCACAAAGGGGAAAGTCTAGATCTGTTCCACGTGCAACGGTCCGATATGGGCGCATACTACTGCATTGCAAGCAACGGCGTGCCTCCCACTGTCAGCCGCCGATATCACGTGCAAGTGCATTGTAAGTCACCACTTATTACTTTCCAGCCTTAACCAGACGACATTTACCAGCGAGTCATTTCGCTTTCGCTTGTTTTACGATAATGAACGGTTTAGCAAATATTTTATGATTCCTTTGTATAATTGGACGAAGTAGGGATAGAATGATTAATAAACCGTTAAAATATTAGATATGTCAAGTACGCCAATCCGCAGTGTTGTCGCGTTGTAGACTATGCCTTATACCCTATGTATAGAGGAGACATTTGCCGAGCTTTGGAACACAGGCTGACACTTTACCTTACTCGTCCAATTAATCATATTAATTCTACTCATTCACACACCAATGGTTATTTTTGATTTCCTCGTTCATTTGTATGACCGATGCACTTCACTTATGCCGTGCTCTACCGGCTTTCAATTTACTTGTATTAACTACTTGTATCCATGGAATAAAAATATTTTTTGTGCAGTAATATTAAAAGATATCCCGTATGCATGTAATCTTAACAAGTTTTGTGTATTGCATTTTATTACTTTATTTTATATTATCTTAAACTTTATTCTTTCATAGAATGTTAAGCCTTAGAACATAAACCTTGGGACGACTAAGCCTTGAATCAAAATTGTATCTCATAAATATTAAATAACAACATAACATAAGTATACTTATATTTATACGTATTTTGCGTGGGCCTTTCAGTATTGGGAGTGTGAGAATAAAATCATGGCAGCTGTTTTCACAGCTATGAGCCAATAAAAAACACTGTAAAATTTTTGCAACATACGAGTACTAAATTAAACTTTACTTTGTCATTTACTCGTGTAGTAACGAAAACTACAAACGAGTAGGTAAACGAAGTCTGCAACTATTGAAGTCTTAAACGTAATTAGGTGAAGTGTAAATTATCAATCTAATATATTCAAAACTCCTCAGGCCATTTATTGAGTACATAACAGTAGCGTATACCTTCAAATATAAATGGATTAGTTTGCGTTTTCCTAACAATAAGCAAGTCAAAACAATATTCGAAAACCGAATACACACGTTTGTTGTTACAGAACCCAGTTGTTACAGACCTATTCTAAAGTAAATTTCTAGATAATATGTATATAATTATATACATTTTTTGTAACAGTTATACCACAGGTGAAAGTGACAAACCAACTAGTTGGAGCGCCTATAGGCAGTGACGTCCAACTACAATGCTACATAGAGGCTTCTCCAAAGGCCATGAATTCCTGGTACCGAGAGGATGGTATAGTATTTTATAAAACCAACAATTAAGTAAAGTATCTCTATTATAACCCTGTATGAATGTATTAATGATTTTCAAATTATTTTGCAGCTCTCGTAAGCGACAAATTATTTGAAAATCCCAAGCTCCGTATATCAGAAAGCGTGGTTAACGAATACTCTTTGTGGATGAACTTGACGATAAAGTCATTGGCGCCAAAGGATTTCGGAACTTATGTCTGCGCTTCTGTCAACGCTCTAGGAAAGATGGAGAATCAAGTCAGCTTACATAGTCAGTAACGAAGTTTTTTATTTCATATTTTAAAACAAAGCATTTCTAACTACTATTATCATACCAGTGCTAGTCAGCTCATAAATCATGTGCTCATATCAAATGCCAATAAAATGTTACTGGCAGCTCGACGAGAAAACTAAAAACATCATTGAGTATAACTTGCAGAAACCAGTCGACAATGCGAGATATCGGTCCTAAAAGAGTTGTCATCAAAATTTTATTACACGTAGGTAGCCAAAGTAGATATGAAAAAAAATACATAGTAATATTGCAATGAAACACCGAAATAATTCACTATCGCTAGCTCAGAACAAAACAAAGCGAATGATGTGACATTTCATTTCTTTGTTTACCCGTTATTGGATACAATACTATCTATATATATAAAAATGAATTGCTGTTCGTTAGTCTCGCTATAACTCGGGAACTGCTGGATCGTTTTGGCAAATTTTGGTTTTAACATATTTGTTAAATCCAGGGAAGGTTTAAACGATGAGAAATTATGGAAAAATTGCATGGAAAATCGAAATGTCAATTGTGCCTGTGCACCCTGTCAAACACTTTATGCGTGCGTTCTGAAAATTATCTTTCTATGAAATAAAAAAAATGTTGAGATTGAAAAATTCCCTAGAAATAATTTATAATAATTTATATGGAAATACAACGTTTGACGAGGCAGCTAGTTATTAATAAAAACGTTTGTTTTTATTAAATACTAGCTTTTTTACTAGCTTATAATAACTTTCGATTCTGAAAATTTCTTGTAATCATTGGACTCAATTTCGCTCGTTTACTAACTGTGAAAGTCAATGTTTTTATTGATAAACACTCATTCGAGTAAAGAAGTTAAATTATAAGAGATTAAGAAAATCGTTATTTTTATAGCAATTTTTTCTTAATCTCAGCCATTCTATAGTCAAGACAGATGCTTATTTTTTACATTATGCATTTCGAGTTAATGTTTTTATCAAATGTTTTTGCCAATACTGTCGAACACTGTCGTACTTATTAGTTTCTACTTTCCTTAGAGAAAATTATCGGCCATAAAAATCATTCTATACTTAATTTCAAGACCTAAATACAATACGCTATAATACAAAATAATATGATATTTTTTTAAAAATTCTTTCTAATGCTATTATATATATATATATATATATATATATATATATATATATATATATATATATACTCTATTAGATATTAGCAATATTTTAATATAGCCAACATACGGCATGTTTGTTTAAATCGATTATAATTTTTTTTAAATATTTCCATTTTAAAGATTTCAACTTATACGTTATTTTCTTAGATACGTTATTAGGTTACTTTTCACCTCATTCATTACATCGAGTAGCACCGACGTCACAAAGACTAAGATCAATTTTATTGAATCAAGGAAGTGGAAATAGCAATCGTATTTTTTAAACTGACTAATTAATCTTTGACTTAGTTGCCGAGAAATAATTTAACTAACTTGTTAGATACTATTAAATAAGTTAATCCAGACGACCCAGGCCTTGGTGCCGTCAAGTGTAACAAGTGTTTATAACAAATCTAATCAATCAGTTTGAGATAAATAATTGGTAAACTTAATTTATCCATTTGGTAAATCGATATTAAATAAAAAAAACATTTTATTTAGAAATTTAAATTGTTTATAGTGCTAATCTTTGCACTTAAGATTGTACATTAAAATATGTAGAAAAAGTGCGAAAAGATTGTCGCCGCTGTGGGAATCGAACCCACGTCTTCGGCATTCGCGGCCTGACGCTCTAGCCACTGAGCTAAACGGCTGATGACCACACCGACGAAAATCTTAACGCATTCCTCTACATTGTTTTCTTAGCATTTGAAGCAATGCTTGGCGCCATCTATTGTTATATCTTTTCCAGCATACAAACAATTTCGAATATCGTTTTACAACGATAATTCGAACGAGAGATGTCGCCATTGCTTTTTTAGAAATTTAAATTGTTTATAGTGCTAATCTTTGCACTTAAGATTGTACATTAAATTTCTATTTCTAGGCCGCGAATGCCGAAGACGTGGGTTCGATTCCCACAGCGGCGACAATCTTTTCGCACTTTTTCTACATATTTTAACATTTTATTTTATTAAAATGTTGGTAGTAGTTCCATATGGAACGTAATTGTTGATGAATTGTTTCTGCATTGGCTCCAATATTCAACTTTGCTCAAAATATTAGAAATAGTCGATAGTGTGTGCTCGTTACGTCGCAATATCTGATTGTGAATCATGGTCTTGTACGTATCCTGTATCACTGTATTCCTTTGACGAAGTAAACCGTAAGTTCGGTTAAAATATTTGCATAAAATGAATGTTGTACACAAAGTAATGGTGCTTTTTTTAAATGTGAAATTCAAGATTTTATTTTATTTTCTCGAAACGTTTAAGAAGATTTTAAACTATTAATATTCCAATAGATACGATTCTCTATCAATTAAAATTATTATATTATTAATGATGATCGAATTATTTGAAGGTGAAAAACATATTTATCCATAATACAAAAAATATTACCAGTAACTTGACATCCCTTCTCAAGTTTTGTTTCAATTATCTATTAGTTAAAAAGTCTCTAAAAACAAGTGAATAGATAATAATAATTGATGTAAATACACGGACTTTTTGAAGTTTCTGATTTTTTTTGGCAGTGTCATTTCTGTTTACTATGTACCTAATATACAAAGATATGAAGCAATATTAAGCATTTAAATGTTGAGTTCCTTTATTTACTTATTTTCAGGAGTTTTTTTTTTTTTACCTAGAACATCGTGAATTATAACAATGAATTTCACACAACGTTATCAAGTCCCAAATTAAACAGAGCTTGTACTATGAGTACTACGTAACTGATAAATATACTTGAACATACTTTCTTTTTATAAATAAATATATAATATAAATATATAAATGCATAAACACTAGTAAATCACTACGAAACACAATATTTTTCAGGGAGTATTGAACCCACTCCCTCTGGCACAAGAGACAGGTTCACTATCCACTACATCAGCTGGACCGTCAATTGTAGCCTCTATAATTATTTCTTCAATCTGATAACCATCACCAAATCGAACGCCACTCAAGCGTAGCCGTGGGTCTATCCTTAAGCGTGTTCACAGTAGTATTTATAACGGTTGTAACAGTGATTGTATGTAAGGCATATTCCAGTGTACGGTTTGATTGGACCGCTAAATAACTTCGCAGGGTTAGAGCTGAGTGTGAATGGTTTCGCTGAGGAGCCGATGGTGTCCGGTGCCGCTTGGCAGCGCCGCCCGCGGCCCCACCACATTCAACGCGCACCCAGCAGCGTCACACGCACAACCGTTCTCTTTCGCACACCACATCCCGCCCCAGCTGTACGCTCTAGTCCTTCCGACGCTGCGCTACCTTATAACGTTGTAGAACATCGTAATTAAGTGAATTTTGTATGTAATTACCTACCGTTATATCGGTGTACCGCAACAACTACTTACTATCGACTTTTTGAATTCTACTCAAGCAGTTTGTAAGCAAATTATAATCAAGCAGTTACCCAAGTAGTTATATTGAAATAATCTGTAAAACTTTACATTTTTCATTATTCTACAAGTTGAATGATAACGATTATTTTTTTCATTTTACCTTAACATTGTATGTTATTTAATGAAAGTATGAAAGTATTTTACGGATCTTATCGTAATTATAATGTCTGACGCTTTGAATATTTGGCATCATTTATTGATAATCACAAACTGGATTTGAACATGAATGGTGCAAAGTATTCGACATAACAGGAGTTTAAATTAATAGTGAATAATCAGAATTTACCCCGATTGCGTTGCATTTTGCATTGGAAATTATGTTATAGAGTAGGTGCTCCATTCATTTTACATCAATCACTATCTAAAATCCTGAGTTCAGCGACAGGAATTGCAATATATTGCTGCAGACGCAATATCCGAAAACTTGTTTTCGCATCCAAAAAAGTTTTCAGTTACCAACGAAATATTTTACTTTGAAACGGCAACAAATCAGCAACGAAAACATTTTGGATGTAGAATTTTAAATTAATGCCCTAGTTCGGGATGACAACCGCCCCATTTAACTTATGTACGAATCAGAAGTGTTATTTGAAACGTAACTTCTCTTGATCCCGAAATATGGAAATGTTACTTATTATTTCCATGTTCTTACGAATATTTTCATTACTTTAGCCTAAGTACATTTCTCTACGGAGAAGAAATAATATATTATGGTGCTTCCAAATAGGTTGGCTTGTAATGGTATACTTTAAACTAAAAAAATATATTTTGCTCGGTGGTTTTGTATAACATTATTTTCTGTCTGTTTGAATCAACTTGAAGATAATTAAAATTAATAATTTCTCTCCCTCCCTTATTTAGTTACAGGGTAATGAGAGATAAATTTCAAATTTCTTTTCGAACTCGTACGTTGTTTATACAAACAAAATATTGTTTCAGTACCAGTCTACGATGAATAATAATATAACGTCTCCTATGATATATTTCTATTACTTTTAGCGAATTATTTGTCTTTTAGGTCTCTTTGAATGAATATTGGGAAAATCGCTATAGTAAACTTATAGCGTTTTTGTATTAATAAACACTAGATTTATTTAAAAATATTGTTGAACTCTGTTTTTTTAACTTGTTAATTACTTAAAACACGTGTAAACCGTCTTATCGATAGATGAAATAAAACTGAAAGAATTGTTCTAAGTACTTGTTATTCTCTAGTCTTAACTAAATTTAGTGATAAATGTTGTATAATTGGCACATTAAAAACTCTTAGATACGTACTGACTCTAATATAACCATTGACGTAATTTAAATGTAATCAATAAACTCTTGTCTCTAACTTTTGTGCTGATTAACTTAATATGTTGACTTCGACAATAAATGTATAAGAATAAACTGCTGAATAAATAAATATTATTGAAATAAATGTCCATTATAAACCTTCCTTACATTCATTTTTGTATGTGTATATCCTTTTACCTTTTCGCCCAACCCTCTATGTGAATAAATTATATCATACAAGCTATGAAAAATGCTTTATTAACTTTAAAGACAAAAATATTTCCGTAACAAACATGATACCACGGAAGAAATCATTTATTTATTTTAATGTGATTGAGGTTATTTACTTACTTATTATGTATTTTAAATCTTTACTAAAGTATATACTGCAAGGCATTTCGAACCAATACTTATATATAATATTAAAATAAAATATACTAAAAACCCATAAAATGCTTTTATTACAAACACTCGTATGAACATCTATATAAGATCCCGAAGGGAATGACAATTTAACTTTTTATCCATTTACCACATTTCTATATGATTAATGTATTTGACCGCCATTTAATAGTCATAGATAGCAAATCCGTACAACAACAAGTCGAGTCCATAATTCTTTCAAAAATGTTTATGGTCGTGGGCTCTATGTATCTAAAGTTTCTACAGCATATAGTAAAATACGTAATCTACTGGAACTCTTTCAATTGTAACGGAAAATGCTACAGGATTCTAGAACTAATGGAACATTGATGGAAACACGAGTCCTACGGATGACGTCGCTCAAGGAACCGTGCCACGAATGCGGTCAGTTCCTTGACAAATCGGTGCTCCTACAGGGATGCGTATACTGTCATTGTCAAGAAATGTCCCTATAGAAAACGGGCACGCTTCAAATCACTATCCAAAGATGGAAACAAGTATTTCTGTAGTTACTCTCTGCACCAAAGGAACATCCACTATAAGTAAGAGTGTATAAAACTTTACAAGATCAGTAGGTTCACTTAACATCAAGCGGAAAAACAGTAATATAACAGAATTAGGCAGACACCTTAGAAAACAAAAGCATAAACAAATATGTGTCATGAAAAAATGTTACAAAACTCTGTATTTTAGTTAAACTATGTATTTTACTTATATGTATTCAACACTAAACTAATAGATAGTACTCATTTAATTAAATGTTCAACAGCAAAAACTTTTATGATTTGCAATATCGCTCATCACAGATCACATCACCTCAATCACCGAAATGATTATATATATTTTTTTCATTATAATAATCTTAGCAGCTAGCAAAACGATAAGATGTTTTTAGAGTTTTTTGAAAGTTAAAAGGAAACAAAATAAATCGTTTTTATCAGCTTCGTACCTTACAAAGACTTACCAGTAGTATGAGATAATATTAATCGGGTTTATACATATACATTCACAAGTACACAGTTAAAACTAAATAAGACACAATTGTTTATAATTCCAGCAAGTACTTACTCTAAGAGCTCGACTCACGAAACGCGAAGACATAAAGCTATAAGTACAGAACAATAACATAAAGTATGAAGATAATGTCAAAGTTCCTTACCCACGTCCCGTTGTGACTATTGACTGGAAGAAATTGCACTTAGTTATAATATCAGATTATTACCACAAACTTGTTTGAATTTTACTACAAACTTTAGCTATCATTTTTGTGTTTCATTGTCTGATGTCAGACTAAGTTCTCATTTCATCCAATTGATTTCCTAATAAAGTATGTAACGCTGATTTTACATACAGCCTGATGATGTCTTCACGTAACATTTAATACACTGTAATGCAAGAGTAATAATTAATTTAAATTTTGGGCCACCATCGACATCATATCAGCCGTAGGACGTCCACTGCTAAACATAGGCCTCCCCCGTGTCACGTGCTTATGTTAATTATCTACAGACTTAGGTACTTTAGATATTTTAGTTGTTTATCTAAAAGTAAGTAACAGCCCACATACGTCCCACTGCTGGGCAAACGCCTCCTCTATACAGAGTGTATCAGGGCATAGGCCTCCTCTATACAGAGTGTATCAGAGCATAGGCCACCACATAGTTATTATTTCGAAACCATGCAGGTTTCCTCACCATGTTTTCCTTCACCGCTGAGCACGTGATAATTAAGCACTTAAAATTAAATTTCATTGGTGCCGGCACCGGGGATCGAACTCAGGTTGCTCGAGTATATGGATTTAAAAGCGAACGCCCGCACAACGAGCTACCACGGCCTAATATAAATTTATTTATCTATTTTATTGTTGGGGTTTGTGGTTGTGTTTTTGTTGTCGGTAAGTGTTATTATCTTATATGTAATAGTTTTTCAAGTACGATGAGTGAGTCACGAGATGATAATCTTCCCTCTGGTGGAGAAGAAAATTTTTTCTGTGATTGACATGTCTGTGCTTATTACTATGGAGTGGATTTCAATTAAAAGTCTTCTAAGAAAGATCAGCGGACTCGGAAATCGCTTGTATCCCAAAAAAACATAACTCTAACTGCATCTATTCAAGATTCTGCCACGCAGCAGCCTCGGCTGTTGCACAAATAGGCAGGCTCGTCCGGATAAGTACCACGACCTCACAGAAGACCGGCGTAAAGTATTTTCGCGTTTCGTCTGGTGAGTGAGGTGGCCGGAGCCCAATTTTCAAAAGATTGTCAACGCATCTGGAACCCTCGAGTGTAGCAGAGGTCCATGGGCGACGGTATTCACTTAAAATCAGGTGAACCGTCTGCTCGCTTGGCAACATTTCACATAAAATAAAAAATAAATAAAATAAAATCTTAGACCTAGACCTAGTTTTGAGCATGAAAAGAATATGAGATATACTGAAACTAAGGTCCGTCTATGAGAGTCTTAGTAGGAAAAAAATACAATTTTGATAAAATGTTCAAGCAATCTTCAGATTAAGCCAGCATGTGAACCTGAGAAGATTGGTGCTACCCTTGCATATAAAGAATAATTTTTAATTTTTGTACTTTTATCAAACCATCATAGTACATTTCAAAGCCACTAGTACCTATTCATTAAAATTGTTACATCTTAAACGTTTTTACTGAGAGACAGCATCCCACCGAGACTTTGCAGGACAATGATGAATGGCCGAGTGGGGCGCTAATGCATTTTTCGTGTTGCACTTGAATTAATGCGCCTCCATTTTTATTCCCTAAAACCTGATCTAAGAGCATTCGTCGATCGATTATTTTGAAAAATTACAGTAAAATTCCTTCACCACCAATCCTTGCATATCACGTCTTTTGGCAACTTTAATTTTGTCATTTTCACCCAAATTAAATTATTAAAATTTAAGGTCTTTTTTGGATGAAGGATTTCACACGTTTTCGGTGATAATAATGGTATATTTTCAACTATCTGTGTCTACCATTTAGGTATAAAGGACGCGAGAGCTTATTTATGGTAAAACACTAAATATTTTTATTAAAAAAAATGCATCATCTGAGATTCCATATTCACACTGAAATGAGCTATTTTTATTTACCGTAATTGCGATCAGTACTCATCAGCAAAACTGTCCAGAATTCGCCAGTATATAAGTAGTTAAAACCATCTGTAATGTATAAATTCGA